GTAGGAGATCCTGTGTTATCCACAATCTTAGTGTTATATGTTATTCAAGAAATTAACGAAAGGAAAATTGTCCTACGAAATTCTAATCCTGTCAATTTAATATGAGAACGAAACACCGTGGCTGTCTTCACATCTTTTTTCTGTGCTTCCTTCGCCAACTGACTGCGTGTATTTCCAACCGACGATAGGACACCCCACGGGGTTTTGTCTGATAAACGAACACACCTAAATTCTCTGTGGTTTCGCATCGGCGAGCGAGAATCAATCTGATGTTGTGCTCGTGTGATCTGAACGAAACAGCCAGGCGTATTAGGATGCGAATGGGCTCCATAACTATGGGCATTCATTAATAGTGAGCTGACCACATCACTGTTTCGTTGTTTTATCACATATGTATCGTCGTTACGATTCCACAGTAATGTAATCATCCTTTTATCAACTAAGTATAACGTTTGTTATGTCTCGAACCTTGAATGCCAATTATATGGATAATCCGAGGGTCAATTTTATGATTGTTTGGCCACTGGTGATGGAGTTGCTTCTGTTACTCCTTTATTTCGACGGAGGGAGAGAAAATCAGCTGGAATATTTACCGGGTGTGTTATGAACCGGATCAACTGAGATAAATGAGTGGATTGTCTAAATGAGGATTGATCAGAATAAAAAATATTACCCATGTCATCTCACTACTAATGAGTAGCTGGATGTTGAACTATTATTCGTAACACGTTCAGTAGACCAATGGGGTAAGCACAACTGTTGGTTATTCGAATCAAGGCGAGGAGGGTCCTGCATCAGTTGTTTTACATTCGAAGAACGAGGGGTTGAAACACCACAGACTTCAAGTTATTCCATGTTTTTGTAACTTAAAAGTAATGCTGTCTGAGAAATAATAATCTGAATTTCACGAAATCACCTGTTCATTTCAGGTTTTTTAGAATTTAATGTGAAGTTTGTGCGAATGTAACTATTGCTTTGATGCAGTTTACTGGAATCGGTTAATTTACCAGAGTTTCATAAAATTCGAATTAAGAAACACTTTATGTACCCAAAAGGTGAATTCCTGGTAATTTACCAATTTGTTGGATTATTGCACGATCAACCAAGAGACTGGTCAGATAAGGACTGTCACCCTTTCAATATGAGAATGTGTGTTGAAAGGAGTTGATTTTACGACTTAATTCGGAGATATGAAAGCATTTTCCCAGTATACATCTTCGTCCACAAATGTAAGTAACACCAATTGATGGACAAGCTCTGGTTTAATGGCTAACTACTCTCGTCACAATGTTCTACATGGGGAGGATTAATTGAGAGTTGAAATTGAGTTGATAGTTTTACGAGTGGATATTATTAGATATAGGACCATCACACGTATGCGCTGTTGGGGATTGTGAGGGACAGCCTTTGTATGACCGTGGTCTCCCTTCCTGNTCCTGAAGGCTGACTGTATATTTGTATATTCAATAAATAAAAATGGAAGTAAAAAGGTATTCAGACATTGATCGATTCAACATATACCTGCATATGGAATTCTCGATTTGCAAGCACTTTTCCTGTTTGAGCTTTTGAAGTAAGAGTGGTCACAGTTGATCATTTGATTCGGATATATTACTGACAACTATTGTCTACTCTCCCCTTCCACAATTGGTCATTGTTCGTTTTCATTACTTTTGGTGATCTAATGGACATTAGTTGTGCGACGGTAGTGTTTCATTTACTAATCAATTTTTATCAGAATCGTATTCGTAATTAGAATAGACCTTTTGAAGTCCATCGAACCATCCTGTCAAACCTTCTCCTTTTTTTATAACTAACATACATTAAATTCAAATGTGTTATCTGACGAAATCGTATTATGTAATATAAAAGAAGCAAGGGCAATTTGTGAGGCTTTTATAGTAAAATGCATACTAGCAATACGGCGTTAATAAAATAGCGAATCCTTCCACATGTTCTTATCGCTTTACTGCAGATGACTTGGCCCGAGCTTATCAGACCACTCTGGTTCCGGGTGAACCGGAACCGGACTGGGTAGAGCGGGAACGTGACCAGTTCCGTCGTCATCGGGATTTGGATAAAAACGGCAAAATGGATCGACATGAAGTTGGCGAATGGATTATGCCATCTGGATACGATCCAGTTGAAGCCGAGGCACAGCATCTATTCTATCATGCGGACAGTGATCGGGTAAGCGGAGTGAATGGAAAGTACTGTGTAGATCACAGTTCTTAAAAGGAAGGGAGAACGAAACACATTCGACAGCTGTTAAGCAAGCTACAAATATTTCACCGTGATTAATAATTTCAAAAACAGGGAATATTTTTTTGTTGGTTTAAACAAAGACTCATTTCTGCCCAACACAAACATGGTTAATATAATATGTATATCCCTTTCAATTGCATGCGTTGTCACAGTGCTTACTGAGTCATGAAATAGAAACTTGTACTTCACTTGGCCAGGTGCTTGATGTGTTTTCCGTAGACCTGGCAAGTATTACGAGTCCCAAATTCAACCTTCGCGGTTCGATCCCCAAGAAAAATAAATCCATTGCATGGTGAGTACCACCTCGGTATTGGATAATAGGTTTATGGGGGTTATCAGATTGTTTGCTAAAAAAGACAATTCCCAAACCCAGTGAATTTGTATCCCGACGGGATGTATGGTTGACCATCTTTGATTACTGCTTGGTTTACTCAACCCTTAGAATGGCTCAATTTGTCTTCGTGTGCATATGCTAGGATTGCATTCGGTCTATGATTTAAATTCTTGTCTTCTCTCACTATTAACCACAGGATAACTTCCTAACCCCGGAGGAGATTTTAGCCAAACAAGATCTGTTCGTCAGCAGTCAAGCAACAAACTACGGAACGGTGTTTGAACAACGCGAAGAGCTGTAATGCGTTTCCGCTGGCACTTGAGATAAATATCCTCGTCCTCGGTGGAAACCATGTGTTTCGTAATATAAACGTGATCTCTTTGTCTTCCATTCGCTAATCTGTTTTCTGCTTGTTGCGTTATATATAAAAATCTTATCTGACCCACATGACTTCTTGTTTAACTCCTAATCACCAGAACTCAACGGATGCATAGATAGGTGAATGGATGATCAAATAAATGGATAGACTGCTTTGTGGAATCGCAGGGATGTAAGAGATTGTTGTTGGAAGATTAAAGTTATTTTTCTTGTACGATGCTCAAAACTCACAAATCTTCGGGTAAATTCGCAAAACAGCAATCACTTGGATTGTTTGCAGTTGACAAGTATGTGATCAAACACGGTGGTAGTATAAGCAGCGAACGATTTACCCGGAGAGGGTGGACCGCAATGAATTGGATGAATCACTGAAGTGTAAATCGGCCACTTCGTACATCAAAGGTTCTCAAACACGAATGTCACTATTCGATTTGCTTATGGAAGCTTTTATTCAATATCTGTCGTTCGGTCCAGTTCGGTTCGAAACACCACGTAATTCAGTAAGCATCCTGCAACTTAGCAACACGACGAAAGAATTCACTTTCACAAAAAGTAGGACAGTGAAGCTCCTCGAAAAGCAAATCCACATTTCGGCTGGAGAAATTTGATATATTACAATATTTCAAATCTGAAAATTTAAACTGAGTTTACGAATGACTACATAATCCATTATTTCGGTATCTGCTTCAAAAAGTATTGCCCGCGGATGTTTCTACCCGATGAGGCTTCATTAGGTTGATGGTTGCCTTCAAATTATCGTTTACTAACAGCTTGTTTAAATAAATGAGGAATGACGTTTCTTTGAAAACTGAACAACACATTTTCACGTACACTTTATGTGCCACTGTAAGGATCAATATAGCCACAGTAACTTAGTCAGAAATGCTCTTGGATTGGGCACGATACAGCTTAAGGTGAGCTATGAAATAAGCGTGTACACCCAATGATTCAATAAATGAATCTAGCGAATTCACCGACATTCATACTGATACAAAACTAGTGTTTTCGCATTTAGGAGAAGGGAGTTATGTCAGTCCGCTGCTTTTCGGCTGATATTCAACTTATATCCGGAGACTTACGAGCAAACCTCCCATCAATATTTGATTTGAAGTACAAAATACTGTATCAACGTTTCATTTATACAGTTGGTGAAGAAAATCAGTGGGAAATCAAGTATTATTGCATGCGATCGGTGCGTAGAGGTGAAACAATCATCTATCACACAAATCAGCCAGATCAGCTGATTGAGTGAGTAACGACCGGAAGATTTTCCACGATAGCTCTATCACTCGTATTATTTCTCAACATGAAAATATTCCTTCAACTATTATGATGAACAATTGTATGGAGTGGCCTAATTTTGACTATAATGTGAGGAAAACTAAGATAAACATATTGATCTGCTGTCCGGTGTTTCCAAGCACGCTTGAATTCCGCCCCTTTTAACACTTTGTATGTTCCTCCGTTCGTGAGCTCGCTGTTTCATTAGTTTAAACTAGAATTCTGTAAATATTTGATTTGCTAGAATCAAGGCGGCAAACGAAGTAAATTTTTCATCTCACATTGCTTTTGGCTCAGCTCTGGTACCCAATCCGATCAGAGAAGCACCAAGCATGAAGCGAAATATTCACTTTTATTTATCTTGTTTGTGCAACCGCAGAGAATTGAGATATCAGAGATGAAAACAAGATTGCGTTCTGTTTTTCATAGTTTTGTTGCATTCTGTGGAGATATGGGTGATTTTCATTCCAAGATCACAATTGAAAACAATAGTAATCTGCGTGGTCTATCGATATCGGGAGTGATCTAGAATGGTTCTTGTCATGGAGGAAAATATATCATGCAATGTTTGGTGTGAACGATTGTGACAGAGTTGATTTGGTGAGAAATGCAATTCCAAATACTGTTCGTGCGATGAGATTGTCTCGGGTGAGAAACGCGATTTATTTATGTTGATAAGAGAGTCAGAGTTGCTGGGTCAAGAGGGCATTTCTTCTTTCTTCTTCTTTCAATTGGCATTCATTCACACAGAATGAGGATATTTCAAAACGTGACCATAGTTCATGGCTTGACTGTGAATGAACATGTCCTGTTTGGCCATAATTTCTTCCTCAGTGAGCACTTCATCCTGTGAAATGGAAGACAGAGGTAACATTATCAAAGGTGTTACAACAACAGTATGACGGTTTGCTCGATTTGAAGACTTGGAGAGTAATTTTCAGTTATCAAGACTACGGTTTTAAAGCACTTCACACAATGTTTCGGAAGTTGTTTCTTTCCTTTTCCGGTACTAAACGGCAGGATGCGCTTTTACCTAGCTGTTAATAGTGCATTTGATGAACTTGGCTATGATCCTATTGGGAAAGCAAGGAACATCCCACTAGAATTTTTGGTGCAAGTATAAATTCTGAATAAAGCATTTCACTACTCACAACATTTCAGTAACATGACTGGATATGGTAAATACCGTCCACCCGAAATATGTACGTATACATTTGCACACCTCTTCATTTGCACAACTTCTACCATTTATTATGTACTTCTGTGTTTTTTTTTAGGGTAGCACCAAGATTATGTGTGAATTGGTCCCCTAATTACCATAATACCCTAGGTTCTGAACATTAGGTGGTGAGCCATATTACTCTAACAGATGTGCATTTATATTGTTCTTTGTATATATATATATATATAGTCTTGGATTCTCGGTATCCCAACACTTATTGTAACAAAAACATCGTGTCACTTTAAACCACGCATTTCAGGTCACCTAACACACAAAAAGAAAATGGTTACTGAAATTTGTCAAAGCTTTAGCCATTCATTCACTCGATCCCGATCTATGGAAACAACGTGACTGGTTAGTCTTATTGGTTTTACCTCGGTGATTAACCCCTACCGTCTCCAGTTCTTTTTATTGTTGTGTAGTGTTGCTCGTTATGATTGGCGATCTTGTCTTCAGCCCTCGAATGTTATCTTACTGACTATAAAAACCACTTTAACTGCAATATACACGTGTATAGATGCAGCGAAGTGATCATGGATGTGTTGCGCAAACCCATATTTCTGAATTCTCTATTCACAGCCTTTCAGAGCAGTTTTCGCTACGATGGAACTTTATTTGAGAACACAAAAGTAGAGGTTTCACTGTGTCAACTTAGGTAGTCATAATGCAGATAAAATAACAGATCATATTTCATATTCTTGAATTGTTGATGCTCAAATTGTCAATACCTCAGTGTAACCACTGATCACCTTTTGCTGAGACAGGTCTGATTTCCGTCGCTGATAAAGATTCCTCCCGTAAGATTATCTGAATTTTTAGGTGAAGAAAACTAGTTTTATTGGCGGCGGTAACTCGATGTGGTCTTTCATATGTGACCAGCAATCGATGATGTCGCTGTGCAAGCCTGAGG